TTCTGCAATCACGCCTGATTTCTATAGATTTTTATTTAGGAAACCTTTTAATTTTCAGTACACCTCAACCTTCTCCAAGTCCAGCATCACGCATAGCCATTGAGAAGCCGAATTGCGGGCCAGTAAAGTCATCACTAACCTCACCGAAAACTGGACGAGTGGCATTTGACAGTGAGATTTTTTTTACACTTTTTTAAGGGGGAAAAATCATCGAATGACTCCCGCCCTGGGTGAGGAGAGGAGTGTCATACTCTAGCTATATTTCATCGGGCCATCATGGTGGCGAAACCAGTCGCGCAACCGGCGTTGCAAATGGACCCTGTAACACCACAGAAGACCACAGGAGTTACAACGTTACGAGTTTAAGTGTGGGAGAGCCATGCTTCGGCACGAATGGGCCGGCTCGACCGGAGTGATACCACGGCCGAGCAGAAAACCGACGTGAAGCAACGCTTGCGTTGTGTTTCGTCGTGTGAGTGAGGTTACCGGAGGCCCAATTACCCTCCCCAATTCCTAAATCCCCAACGATCCTCACACTCCTAATCCCCATAAGGCCAGTAACGCACTTGTAACGCCTCTGGTGTTCCAAGTGTCCATGAGCGACGCCGATTGCTTACCATCAGGCGATCCGTCTGCTCGTTTACCGGCTTATGCCATAAAAAAAAGTGCGTTGCCCGCCTTTAGTTGACGCTCACTCATACAGCTGCACACATACTGGTTTTCTGTTAGACCATGGTATCACTCCGGTTGAGCCATTCCATTTGTGCCGAAGCATGGCTCTCACGCGTTTAATTCATCATCATCATCATCAGCCGGTGTCCGTCCACTGCTGGACATAGGCCTCTACAATAGCGCGCCATCTTCTCATCCAACCACTATCAGACCTAGCAGTTATCGTCACTTCACCTAGCACCTAGCTGGTGCGCGCGCCACTACATTTGCCTAGACGCGAACATTAGAACACGTCTACCCCACTCCTCTCCGGCCTCTCTCCGGCCGGAGGCTCACTCAGAGTCTCCGGCCAGAGGTCTTGGAGGAGGTGATAAGCGCCCTGTTCCCCCGACCGCGGAGGCGCTTCAGGCCTCCGTATATGACTCTGCCCCCTGCGGTGCCCGACGCGGGCTATAGCGACGGCGACGATGACCTCGTCCCAGAGGTGACCGAGGCAGAATTGAGAGCGGCGGTGCGCCGGATGGGCGCCAAGAACACCGCCCCAGGACCCGACGGCTTGCATGGCAAAGCATGGGTCCTGGCCTCAGAGGCTCTCGGGCCTCGATTAATCGGTCTCTACAGCGCATGCTTGGAGAGAGGCCAGTTCCGCTTCTCTGGAAAGCGGGCAAACTGGTCCTCGTGCGGAAGACGGGGCGCCTGCGGACTCTCCGTCCGCATACCGGCCCATAGTGCTGCTCGACGAGGTGGGGAAAGTCTTCGAAAGAATCATTTCGAACCGCCTCGTCGCGCACCGACGAACATTGGGCCGGACCTGTCGGACGGCCAATTCGGCTTCCGCAGAGGGCGCTCCACGGTGGACGCCATCATGCGCGTTAGGGACCTCACGACGGGGACTGCAGTGTCCGGGGGTAGAGTCGTGGTGGCGGTGTCTTTAGACATCGCCAACGCCTTAACTCCCTGCTGGAGCTGCATCTTGGAGGCATCCCGATATCATGGGGTGCTACTACCTCCGTCGTGTGATCGAGGCTTACCTGACGGACAGGTCCGTCAGCTACCCCGGTCACCGGGGCGAGTGGAACCGGCGAGAGATGTCACGCGGTGTTCCACAGGGTTCGGTTCTGGGGCCGCTCCTGTGGAACATCGGCTATGACTGGGTGCTGCGCACCGACCTCCCGAACGGCGTTAGCACAATATGCTACGCCGACGACACGCTGGTGCTAGCGCACGGGAGGTCGCACCAGGCGGCGGCCGATTTAATGGCGACAGCGGTTGCGACAGTCGTTGAAAAAATCCGGCAGTTGGGACTCGAGGTGGCGCTCCACAAGTCCGAGGCCATGTGTTTTCATGGCCGCGGGAACGCGCCACCTCCGGGTGGGTCCCAAATAATGGCGGGAGGGGTTACCATCGGCGTCGAGACGACGATGAAGTACCTGGGACTCGTCCTCGACAGTCGGTGGAACTTCGTGGAGCACTTCCGACGTTTGGCTCCAAAGTTGGCGAGGGCGGGGGCTGCGTTTAAGCGCATCCTCCCCAACCTCGGGGGGCCAAACGCCTCCTGCCGGAGGTTATACGCCGGGGTCGTGCGGTCCATGGCCCTCTACGGCGCCCCTGTTTGGGCGCCGAACTTGTTGCGGCGTCCTGCTCGGACGCTGCTCATGTCACAGAGGGTCATGGCGATCCGAATGATCCGCGGATACCGCACGATCTCTGGGGAGTCGGCGAACCTCCTTGCCGGATTACCGCCGTGGGATCTGGAGGCGAAGGTGCTCGCGCGCGTGTATAACATGCGCGCGGAGGCACGTCGCCGGGGCGAAACTCCGCTGCCGCGCCAATAAGTGCGTGGCGGGATGAGCTCCGGCGCGATCTCATGGCGGAATGGCAGCAACGACTGTCGCAACCGGGGCTGGGCTCGCTGCCATTGCAGCGGTAAGTCCCCTCTTTGAGGAGTGGCTTGAGAGACGCTACGGCGTCCTCACCTACCGCCTGACGCAGGTCCTCACCGGACATGGAAGTTTCGGGAGGTACCTGTGTCTGATGGGGCGGGAGGAAACGCCCGGGTGTCATCACTGCGAGGACCGCCCTGAGGACACGGTGGAACACACAGTGGGAGAATGCCCTGCGTGGGCTGAGCACCGCCGTGCCCTCAGGGAAGTGATCGGCGATGGCGACCTCTCGCGTCCGGGCCTAGTGCAGGCCATGATGCGGAGCAAGGGGGATTGGGATGCCGTCTCCTCCTTTTGCGAAGCAGTCATGCTAGCTAAGGAGGAGGCGGGACGCGTGAGGCAGCGAAGCGCTGCCTCCTCGCAACCCAGCCATCGCGAAGGACACACCGGGCGTCGGGGATCGCGAGACGATCTCCGGCCACCGTAAGCGCGGGCCTGCGGACGGCGAGCATGGGTGGCTCCCCGTCCGACCAGAAACAGACCCGAGCGTACGGCGCGTCGCGTTCCGCGCGCGCCTCAAAGAGCCATCAGACCACCACAGATGGGGCCCAATAGGGCCGATGCCGATTCGGAGTCGCGGAGAACCTAACGGGTAACCGGGGCTCCGGCTCGACGTGCAGGAGAAGGAACGGGGTGGTTTTTAGTCAGTAAGAGTCTGACACTCCCTTCCGCCTCACCCAGGCGGGAGCAGTCATTCGATGATTTTCCCCCCTTAAAAAAAAAAAAAAAAAAACCCCAACGGTTATCGGTTCTGCATCAGATGTGACTGGCCTTTTTTTGATGACGGTTTTACGCCTCGGCCTAGCCTTTTGGAAAGTAAGACAAGGGAGTGTGAGATTTTTACCTCACTAAAACCACCCACAGCACTTGACACCGGGTCTTTTATTATATCTACCACGGAGCCCTCACAGTACAGCGCCTGTTGCGACACAACCCTAGGAGCACACGCATCTCCCTTGAGCATCGCTGTGCAGTTTCACAGCAGCACGAGTCCACTGTGTTACCGTCTTCTCTGAAAAATGTGACCGGCCTACTGCCACTTCAGCTTACTAATCCTTCAAATATATGTTATTACTATTGTATAAAGCGGAAGTTTGTTTTTTTTTGTTTGTTTGTTTGAACGCGCTAATCTCCGTAACTATAAGTTTGATTTAATTTAATTCTTTTTGTGTTGGATAGCGCATTTATCGAGGATGGCTATAGGCTATAAAACATCACGCTATGACTAATAGGAGCTGAGCAGAGCGTGTAGTAGCTAGTCCTTTAATAAATCTTCTTTATTATTACAGAATGTGTGGATTACCAAGAGAAGTATGTGTATTCTTGTGAACGGGCATTTTCCTTCGCTGGTGGCTTTGACAGACGCAGTAATTGTCACCACAAATCAGACCAGTTGGTGGTTGGAGGTGTGAATGCCGACGAGCACGAATTTCCCCACATGGTACGTAGAAAATAGGTTAGAATTGTAACCTCAACAAACACAACAAAATATATTGGTTTATTTGTACAGCTAAATACATATATTGATGTGTTTGTATGTTTGTTTGAACGAGTTAATCTCAGGAACCAATGGTCCGTTTTTTATAAGATAAGCCGGTAAACGAGCACACGGATCACCTGATGGGAAGCAAAAGACACCCGGAACACCAGAGGCGTTACTTTACGTTACCGGCCTTTAGGGAATTAGGAATTTGAGGACTTTTGGGGATTTAGGAATTGGAGAGACTGTTAGGGGTCATTGTGCCTCCGGTAACCTCACTCACACGACGTAAAACAACGCAAGCGTTCTTTCATTTCGGTTTTCTGTTCGGTCGTGGTGTCACTCTGGTTGAGCCGGCCCATTCGTACCGAAGCATGGCTCTCCCACAATTTCCGTCATTCATCGAGGATGACGCTACGATCATACGAGTATTAAACTATCAAACACCAAGCGGTCACCGGTGACCGCGACCTATTGTTCTTTAATTGTGTCTATAAAACCGGTATTCGACGAGTTAACGTACGGTTGTTTCTAAACAGCAGTGCTAGCCAAATGCCATTTAGCGCTTGTCTACATGTAGAGTAGAAAACCAAATTATATAGAATTGACGTAAAATTTGACACTTGTCAGTGTCATCCCCATACATTTTGATTTCTACTCTATCTGTAGACAAGCGCTAAAGTGGCGTTGGCTAAAGGCCCAGGGCCTCTAGCCAAAAGCCAAAGTGTCAAATTTTACGTCAATTCTATATAATTTGGTTTTCTATTCTAGTAACCGAAAATAAAAACTGTGTCTTAATGTCGATATCAAGCAACTTAAACTGTCAAACACTGCGAGGACACCGGCGACCGCTACCTATTGTTCTTAATTGTGTCTATAATGACGGTACTCAAAGGGTTAATGTCGATTTCGCCCAGAGGTTTAAGACGCCCGCTTCTCATGCATTAGACTGCGGGTACGAATCCTACCAACGGCAAGTACCAATGTGACTTTTTCCGAGTTATATGTACTTTCTAAGATTGTTTAGACACCACTGACAAACGGTGAAGGAAAACATCGTGAGGAAACCTGGGCTTATAACTTCTAATTATAAGTTTGAAATTGCCAACCCGCATTGAGCAAGCGTGGTGATTAATACTCAAACCTTCTCCGTGTGAGAGGAGGCCTTTGATGAACTCAATGGCTATTGATATGATTTGTGAACTACTGAATGACTCCTGATTGTATTTCTTATAACAGGCGCTGATCGGATTCGGAGAGGTATCCAGCCTCGATTTCAAATGTGGCGGTTCCATTATCAGCGAAAAATTCGTCTTGACAGCGGCTCATTGTTCAATTTCAACAATGGCGTAAGTTTATGATTTGACTTTTTTATGAAATAGGAAAATATACATATATATCTAAGGCAAACGAGGTGACGAAAGACTTGGTAGGTGATTAGTGCCACCCGCAACACCAGAGGAGTAAGAGTAAAGAAAGACCTAGATGAAGACTGTCTCGTTGACCTAATGGTCACAAGTGCGACGGCCGGGCAAGGGGTTTCGAGTTCGATTCCCGGGTCGGGCAAAGTATATTGGGTTTTAAAAAAATTCTCAGTGGTACCACGGAGTCTGTAATTGTGCCCGGTATATAGCCATAGGCTCACCCCCTATTACATGGGACTCATAACATAAATAGTGAAAAGTGGGTGTTACATTGTACAGTGGCATTAAGTGCCGTATTGTGCACCTCTGCTTACCCCTTTGGGGATACAAGGCGTGATGTTAAGTTATATTATTTAATTAAGACCTGCAGCTGTAGCCAAATGCCATTTAGCGCTTGTCTACATGTAGAATAGAAAACCAAATTATATGGAATTGACTCGGAACAATAACTAGACATGGAAGCCAGGCTAAAATAACAACTACAATCCATATATTCATCTTTTTTTTACTTATGGTATTGATAGTGTATAAGAAAGAGACAAGTGTATTGTTTCGTTTCGTTATTATGCAGGTTGTCACTACTTGTAAATATGCTAGTGATGGGAATAAATTAATATATTTTATCGACAAATTATGGTACCTGAAAGTATTGCTGCTGTGATTTAACGTACATTAGGTTCTTAATCTGGATGTCGTGGGTTCAGAAATAAAACACAATATTAAAAAGATAATTTAATTGCTCACAAACAAAGCATATTTACAAACCGTGGTAGTGGTGTACTATTATGTGTTTATCATTGACTTTGTTAAATATGTGCGAATTTTTTCGGTAGGTACAGTCAAATTTTTAGTTACATAATGTATCCTAAGTTTAAAATATTTTTGTGATATGGACTTTATAAGATTTCTATGATCATCATAGAAAGATTGTTCTAATGAATAATCTTTTTTTTCACGAAAATTTTTTGACGACAACACATTTGCTGAAACTTTATTAATCAATCTAATGATTATTTTGGTTTACCGAGAGATTTTGAATCAATATAATAAAGGAATTTATTTCTCTCAAAAAGGTACATACATAGAAACATTATATCACTATTTAAGTTACAATAGGTTCAACCTTTGTGAGAGCTGGAGTCTATACTGGGTTCAAGACCTGTATGACAGATCTCCAGGTTCACACCCGATGTCACAATAATATAGTAGGTAATTATAATGCAATAGAATACAAGCAATAAAAAGAAACAAATTCCGTGGTCTGAGGGTAGACCAACACCAAACCAGAGTGGATTATATGAGAATGGATGATGAGAATGTGTTTGTCAATTGTGAAAATGAATGTACAGTGTGTGAGTGTTCATGTCTTTAGTGTGAGTGTATCTGAAGTTGTGTGTTTGTGTATGTAAGTTGGTGTGCTGTGAAGAATATGTAGACATTACCGAAAGCCGACAACGACGAAGTACCCAACAATGTACCTATGCGAGATTTAAGATAAAACGTGCAGTAATTCTTCAGTGCTATCATAGTCCATGTCAAGAAGCCAGTTCCTGACCGTTTTTTTACATTTAGATTTACACAGAGGATATATGTTAAGTATATTGTTTGCCTTGTTGTATATGTAGCCGCTAAGAAAAGGGAAACTGCGTTGTGCTGATCGACAATTAGTCGAAAAAGGAGGACAAACACTATGCTTACGCCGTTTACCGTCAAACATGGTCGGATCGTAACTAATTTGGGAGTGAGTAGTCAAAAGAATATTCGAAATGAACAATTTTCGTATAGAGAGAACATTACAAATTTTATAAAGATCTGTGGTTGGAAAACGGAAAGGTAGCTTCCAGCCCACTTTCAGGAGTGCACGTTGTGCACGTTCTAGTTTTAAAAGATGTGTTTTAGCAGATCCGCCCCAGGCAATTATGCAGTATTCCATAATTGATTGACCAAGAGCCAAATACACAAGCCGCATAGTATTAGTATCGGCAGCATGACGGAGAGACTTGAATACATAAATTAGCCTCCGGACTCGAGAGGTAAGCGCGTCTATGTGAGCACGAAAAGACAGGCAATCGTCAATAAGTACACCCAGATATCTAATGCAGTCGACACGAGAGATACGGGGACAGTTACAGATTGACCTGTGATGTAATTTGCAAGAGTGTGCTATTAATGGAAGGGAGGGTAAACGGGACTTGCCGGCCTCTGAAAGGGAAAAGGTAAGATATTTCGTTTTATCTGAATTTAAAGTGAGCAGGTTGTGGGTCAACCAATTGGTGACAAGGTCGAAACCACCCTGTGCATGCAGATAAACCGACTCCCACGAGTCACCATGAAATAGCAGGGCAGTATCATCAGCATATGAAAAAATGGATGCATTAGGTATTTTCAGAAGACACAAGTCGTTTATATAAATAAGAAATAGGGTAGGACCTAGGATACTGCCCTGGGGGACCCCGTATGTAATGGGAAGGTCGATGCTAGACCATTCAGCAATTTTAACGCGTTGGCGTCTACCAGTAAGGTAACTCTCGAATAGCGCAAGCTGGATACCTCTGATTCCTATACGCTCAAGTTTAATTAAAAGAGTGGGGACAGATATCGTATCAAACGCCTTAGCTAGGTCCAGGAAGATACCTATGACCTTCTGATGCCTGTCCAAGTTAGAGATGATGCAGTTGGTGAGGTTTAGCACTGCGTGGCCTGTAGAGAGTCCGGAACGAAAACCATACTGAGAGCAGGAGAGGATGCTGTTTATTTCAAGAAACTTGACCAGCCTACTGTTCACAAGCCTCTCAAGTAACTTAGATAGGGTTGGTAAGATTGAGATGGGTCTATAATTGTTAAGACGATCCCTGTCGCCGCCCTTGTGTATAGGAAGTACTACTGCTAATTTGAATGCATCTGGAAATATCCCGGATGTAAAGGCAAGGTTAAATATATGTGACAGAAGGGGAGTAAGATAGCTCTTGTATTTTTTGATAAAATTGCCAGATATGTCATCGCAACCCGCGGCACAATCACCTCTCAGATTCTCAATCAAATTATTCAACTCAATATCATCGGTTTCTAATAGGACGAATGAATTAGGAAAGGAGGTATCGTTGACAGTTGAAGGGCGAGGTAAAGCATGAGATGTAGAAATGTTTTCCGCTAATGTACGACCTATATTTGCAAAGTAGCCATTAACTTCATTAACAGAGTGTGTTGGATTTGTAGCAGATACAAGAGCATCGGCAGAAGATTTTAGTTTGGATGTGTTTGTGATGGATTTAATAGCTTCCCACAGCTTTTTAGTGTTTTTTTGTGCGTTATCTATTTGGTTTTTATCGTAGGCATTTTTGGCAGCTTTAATCATGTTTGAGCAAAAATTTCTATACCTCTTGAAAGTAATTTTTAGAACATCATTCAGAGGTTCTTTTTTTAATTTTAAATGTAAATTGTCACGATTACGCAGACATTTAAGGAGCCCTGCGGTCATCCAAGGCTTGCGCAATCTTTTACGATTCGGTACTACCTTTAGGAAAGAGTTTTGTGCAATAATACAGCTGAGGGTGTTGATGAAGTAGTTTGTAGCATCATTAACTTGTGAGGAGCTATAAACTGGGCTGAAATCAGCCTGAGATATGTCTGAAGTTATCTTGTCATAGTTAAAAACACGTGTAAACTTCCATTTTCTTCGAGAATAATTACAAAAATTGTTATTCTCGAGAAAAAACAACACAGTGTCATGATCAGTTACCGAAGTATTTGCTATGTAACAGTAAGCAGGTTTTCTCGTTTTCAGCATAAGGTGATCAAGACATGAGGTACCTTGTCGCGTAGGGAGAGTGTGTGCCGGTAACATACCATGAAAAGCAAACATAGTCAGGTATTCATTAGCCCAAGAGTCATTGTTGTTATCCGAAATGTCAATATTAATATCCCCGGTCATTATTATGTTATTATAGGAGGATACGGATTTCAGTACCTCATTCATAGAATCCAAAAAGGCAGAAGCATTCCGAGTGGCTGGCGACCGATATACTGCAATGATAACGACATCACTGTTAATTGTCAATAATAGACAATTTGCATCTTGAACTGTGGGTTCAGAGACTGAGACTGAGTGGTGGGATTTATAAAACACCACGACACCCTCATTCTGCGTCTCCGGTTGACTAGTGGCAACACAGTTATAATTATGAATTGTTGGTAGGGGAGGTGAGTTATGAAGCCAGCACTCCGTCAGAATTATAAAGTCCCAAGACGTTCTACTTCTTCTATGAGCGTTAGCATGTCGTTAAAATTCTTAACAATGCTCCTTATATTTTGACAGAGAAGTGACATAGAATCTTTGTGTAATTTAACAAAAGCGCTGCAGTCCTCGATATGGCATGCAGCCGATTCCGATACCGATATAAGGTCCAAATCGTCCTGGATTTTATTAAAACAATCGAATTTCACATTGAAAAACTAACATCGACGATAAAAAGGGATGTGTAATATTTCTACAAGTTATGGTCATTGGTCGTATTTTATCTTTTTTAAATTGGAAGGTTGTGGAAATGAACGAATGCGCCCCGAGTGCTTCGATCGGATCCACTGTGATATTAGTAACCTTTGCGTCCGTACACACCAAATCGATTAGAGACGAGCTGTTATTTGTAAAATGTGTCGGCGTAGGCATCAGCTGAGTAAGGTTCAAACAGTCAAGAAATGAGTCCAGTATATGGGTGTGCAAAATAAACATAAACAAATTCGATACAGTAAAGTAGCCGAGAAACGTGCATGAGTGTGTAAAATAAACATTAACAAATTCGATATAGTAATATAGCCGCCCTTTAAAACATTTTAACATTTTAATATGCACTTGATATTCTCTTATAATTTTTTCGGACAGTTGACAGATCTTGGTTAAGCCATATGTTGGTTTAAATAGGCCTCCTCTATATTTAAAGATGTCAAAGATCTTTAAGGAATACTCTCCGTATTTCTAGGCATTTTTCGCATCGTAAATTTTTTTTAATTTCGTTCCGATAAAGCCGATTATGTATTCTATGACATTCTTAGAATATTCCGTAATAGATGATGGGTACAAAATGTAGTCGTATTCTGTCAAATCATCAAAAGTATCATGTGACTCGGGCTCTAAACGACGTCTATACTATAAAGAACTTCAAAGCCTAACTAAAATATCGATATGTAACATGACCACATCACTAGCTTAAAAACTAACTTAGAAAATTGATTTAGATTTTTTAGGAAAAGATGGAATAATACTGTTTAGGCTTACAATTGAAAAGTACGACAATAAATAAGTAACATTTATTTATAGTTTACCGGTATTTCCAGTATAATTTATTTTAAAACATATCAAAAAGTTTACGAATGAAAGTGAATTTTTTCACCACTGTTTTCTTTTCTTCCTAATGTGAATTGCAGCCGTCAATCACACAAGACGTATTTTTATTAAGTAAAACAATAAATAAAGAACCATACACTTTCTTTCTTCCTTTCTTTTGCGCTAATTCCTTAGAAAATATTTATTATTATCAGGAGCCGTAAATACAACCACGGTGACACTTCAGTACTATAATCCGGCAAAGTGAGGAAGGTGTCAAACTTGAGTGAAACTGTGAAACATAGAACGTCAAAACGTGATTTTGAATTTGGTAGTATGCTGAATGAGTCCAATGACATAAGATTGTAATGAGTCCACTGAAAGTTGTGACAACCTGCAAATTATCAGAACTATGTTCAGTTTGCGGTCTCATTCTCGCCTACGCAAAATCGTGTAAAGAGCGAGAGCATCAGATATATGTTTGTAAATTGCTATTTTAGCCTGGCTTCCATGTCTAGTTATTGTTCCGAGGGAATTGACGTAAATTTTGACACTTGTCAGTGTCATCCCCATACATTTTGATTTCTACTCTCTCTGGAGAAAAGCGCTAAAGTGGCGTTTGGCTAAAGGGGCCTTTAGCCAAACGACAAGTGTCAAAATTTACGTTTCAATGGAATTGGTTTAATTAAATTAATTAAAATAATTTGGTTTTCTATTCTACATGTAGACAAGCGCTAAATGGCATTTGGCTACAGCGACTGGCACCCTTTTTTTAAGGAGGGAAAATCATCGAATGACTGCTCCCGCCTGGGTGAGGCGGGAGGGAGTGTCAGACTCTTACTGACTAAAAACCACCCTGTTCCTTCTCCTGCACGTCGAGCCGGAGCCCCGGTTACCCGTTAGGTTCTTGTCTAGTGTGCCTTAGGCATATTACGGCTCTAGTTTCGAAGTCCCTTATTAACGCAGTTTAAACCTTGATTTTGCTCTCATTTTCAGTGTACCAGCTACTTATATAGCAATAGGATTGATTCAGAAACATGAGGCTAAAGACCGGTCGAAGATTTACTTGATCAAGCGATTTATAAACCACCCACTATATAAATCCCCATCAAGGTACAACGACATCGCTTTGATTGAGACCGAGCGAGAGTGAGTATTATTTGTAATAGAGTATTAGTAAGTCAAAGTCAAAGCATTTATTTACATTAAACCATAATTTGGTACTTTTGAAACGTCAATAAATACAAAATAAATAATAGTCTGTCAGCCAGTCCGTCAGTGAAGCTAGGTGAAGCTAGGTGCTCATTCCAAAATGTAGATTCGAATGGAGAAGAACGAGCAAGAAATTCCATTCGTTACTCTTTTTAAAAAAGTATGTTTTACAATGTCTCTGATACATATTTCAATACTGTACGTATATGCGAGAACAATGCAAATACACGCTTGACGCATAGTAGGTACTAATTACAAAACTTACTAAAATAAAAAAAATAAAAACATATAGTTTAACATGGTGTTCACATATGCATAATGACAATCCATAAAATTAGTGCTTCTATGCAAAAGGAAACTCTTTGATTCAATAAAGAAAGAAATGCTCAATGCCATAAGGAAACTAGATTGTCTACATTATGACTAACTACCGACTTTAAAAAAAGGAAAAAAGGAGGAGGACTTATAATTATTTAGGCCTGGCGCCCACTATCGGCATCAGCACGTCTGAGGATTTTAGGTGGCAAATAGCAATATACATTAACATAATGGCATTAAAGTAGAAATTTCCGTGCATATGTTCGTAATAACAAAATACCGCTTCGGTATGCTTGAGGCTGCTATATCGGCAGCCTTGAGAATCCTTCGGGATGCTTCGGCATCCTCCGGCCGCCAGCCGTAATGATTGATTAGATTAACTCTGAGACTGTTATAACGGGAAATACGATATTGAGACGCTTCGACATGATTCAGGACGATGCGCCATGCTTAAGGACGCCTCGTCATCCCTAAGAACGTTCCAGCATGCTAAAGCATAGGTTGCGAGTGTACACTTGCATGTAAGATGCCGAAGGATCCTTTTCCTTACCGATGCAAAGTCAAAGTCATTTATTTCAATTAGACAAGGAAGGCACTTTTGAATGTCAAAACAAAATATTTAAATATTAAATAATAAGAAAAAATGTCAGTCTGTAGGTCAGTCCTCTAGTGAAGCTATTTGCTCGTTCCAAAGTGTAGATTCCTATGGAGAAGAACGAGCAAGCAACTCCATAGGTTACTCTTTTTCAATCATGTTCACAATACAATTTTTTAATACATTCTGGAGCTGACCAGTCCCATTTGACAGCGCCCGTTCACGAACATGACACGTACACCAGCACCGCCCAACTCGACCATGTTGTAGGGAATCGAGCGATCCACTGCACGTGCCACTGCCAATGAGATTTTTGATGAGCATGACAACTCCTCCCAATAGTGGGCGCCGGGCCTTAGACTTTACTATGTTCCAATGATTGTTTTGACGTGACAACGTCTTATAAATTGGTTTGCCGGGTGACACTTCAAGAAACTGCGTTACGCTCCGCTCACGTTATGCGCTCACAATGAGAGCGAGTGAGAGGCACGCGTCCCTTCCACTCGGGCATGGTTAGCCCGCCTAAGAGCGAGAGAGACAGACATAAAAATTTCGTCCTTCTTCCTACTATACGAATGAATATTCACATTAAAATTATTTTAACACTCAAAGTCGTTGTCTCGTAAAACTTTCGCCCGTATACCGACTTTACAGGCAACCAATTTTTTTTTTTAAGTACCTATGTTTACCGATTACTCCGCCGTTTGTGGACCGACCTCTGAGGTGAAGCTTGGTGCGACTAAATATATTTACAAACAGAAAACATCAAACCAAACAATGCATTATCAACCTTGACATTTGGTGATAAAGTTGGCAATGTTTGCAGGATGGAATTGAGCCAGTACATCGTGCCTGCTTGCCTTCCCACAGAGCCGGTAGAGGACGCTAAAGCTGTCGTAACAGGATGGGGTCCAATTCACTACAATACTAAAGTATCGGATATTCTTCAAAAGGTTAGAATAAATTCATATATTGCACGTATACATACCTACATACATACCTAGACGGACATATAGGTACTGAGCAGATTGGCAATATCCTTACTAATATTATAAATCGGAAAGTGAGTTTGTTTGTTTGTTCCACTTTCACACCGTAACTACTAAACCGATTGCTTTGAATTTTTGCAGACGTAAAGTTAGAAGTCCGGATTAAGTAATAGGGTAATTTTTAACCCGGAAAAATTTTATATTCTCGAGGAAAAACAAAAGTATTGGCATAGATGGCGCTGTGTGTATTGGTATATGCCACATAGGCTACTTTTTATCCTTTTGTGACGCAAGCGAAGCCGCGGGTAAAAGCTAGTATTAAATAAGGGCCAAATTAAAAGTACCCTTAACCGACGAGCATGCATGAAAAGATTGATGACCGTTAATGAAGCAAAAGAGGTATGTATGAATCGTAGTAATTGGCGTTCTATAGTCTCTGTGTACCCCCAAGGGAGACATGCGTGAAGTTATGTATGTATGTTTGTATGTTGATGATGACTGCCTCGTTGGCCGAGTGGTCGTAAGTGCGACTGCCGGACAAGGGGTCTCGGGTTCGATTACCGGGTCGGGCAAAGTATTACTGGGTTTTTAAATATTCTCAGTAGTAGCACGGAGTCTGGAATTGTGCCCGGTATATGGCAATAGGCTCACCCCCTATTACATGGGACTCATAATCATAACATTAATAGTGAAAAGTGGGTGTTACATTACACAGTGGTATAATGTGCCCCTCTGCCTACCCCTTCGGGGATAAATGGCGTGATGTTATGTTGTTATGTTGTTTGTATGTATGTACAGCGTAAACAAACTGTTTGTCTTTCTCTCTATCAAATTAATGAAGATAAGTTTTATGCAATTTTCAGGCGCTTCTATATAAAACTCCTGTTGAAGAATGCCGTAGACTGTACAGGAGTCATCGTCTATTCACAAGAGGTTTTGACAGCGAAACTCAGACGTGCTACGGAGATAGGGATATGCCTCTACGCTACCAGGACAGATATGAGAGCAAAGACACTTGCCCAGTAAGTTATGCCTATTAACATTATACATCTTTTAATTATTATCATCAACAGCCTATAAATGCCCACTGCTGAGCAAAACTTTTTCTCTCACGGAGAAGGTTTGAGCATTAATCACCACGCTTGCTGAATGCGGGTTGCTGATTACAAACTTATAATTAGAAATTATAAGCCCAGGTTTTCTCAGGATGTTTACCTTCACCATTAGTCAGTGGTGTCTAGATAATCTTAGAAAGTAGGTACATATAACTCGGAAAACATCACATTGGTACTTGCCGTTGGTAGTTGTCGAAACCTCCGGGTCACCACGACATTGCTTCTACTTAGACTTTTACTTATTATACACCATTGCACATTATTATACAGAATTGCACAACTTGATTCCCCGTAGTCCTTTTCATCATTGTACTACTAGACAAAATAGATGTCCCACCCACACGCACGAAGCGAGTAGCGGGTGAATATGCGAGGACGTGGTTAGTCAATTTAATATGTATATGTTATCACAGGACGTCCACTGTTGAACATAGGCCTTCCCCAATGACTTCCAGATATTCCAGATAGATTTCACCATCGATGCAATAAAAATACAGGGTGTAACTTTTACAGATTTTAGTCGGCTCGATTACCGAGTGCGAAAAGCGAATTTAAAAAAATCAATGAATGCAGTTTTTTTTTCTTTTCAAAAATAAAGGAATGTTTTCTTTAAGTAAAATTTTCTATGTAAAGTATAAGTTTATATGTAAAAGAGTAACGATGGAGTTTCTTGCTCGTTCTTCTCCATACGAAACAACACTTTGGAACGAGCGCCTAGCTTCAATGACTGACAGACGGACGGACAATTCAATTTTTGACATTTCAAAAGTGCTACCACTGAGAGTATTTAAAAACCCAGTAATACTTTGCCCGACCCGGGAATCGAACCCGAGACCCCTTGCCCGGCAGTCGCACTTACGACCACTCGGCCAAAGAGGCAGACTTTGACTTTGACTATATCAATTGTATATCTCACTATGACTATATTATTTTGTTACAGGGTGACAGTGGGGGTCCCCTTCAGATTAAAAGTGATAAAATAAATTGTATGTACATAGTGGTTGGAGTGACTTCGCATGGAAGAAAGGTTTGCAGTACTCCTGATTCGGCTGGAGTGTACACTAAGGTCGATTCTTACGTGCCGTGGATCGAGAATATCGTCTGGTCAAATTAATTGTCCTCATTTTTTATTAAATGGTTTTATTTGGCTTGCTTTTGTTTTTATCTATATCTGTACATATAATAAATTCTGTTCATTTAAAGTATTAAAAATTAAGTAGTGTTAAAGGTAACTAGATGTCTTCAAACAAGCCGGTAAACGAGCAGACGGATCACCTGATGGTACGCAATCGCGGTCGCCCATTGACACCTGGAACACCAGAGGCGTTACAAGTGCGTTACCGGCCTTTTGGGGATTAGGAGTTTGAGGATCGTTGGGTATTCAGGGATTGGGGAGATTGGGGAAGGGGAAGGTAATTAAAATATTATTTACACACTTAAAATATATACTTGCACATTGCTTGCATATTACATGCTTCACTATATCCCCCCATAGACACCCCACACTCACCCCTATTACTGCGCATGCGTGTAGCGTGGATCGCCATCTTTGCTAGACCGTATTGATTTGACTATAGGTACACAATAACATAACCCCTCTTGTTTTCTCGTGGGGTAGACAGAAGCGTCAATCTGCCACCCTCTGTTTGTTTGTTTATTTGTAAAATGTACCTTATATTGCTTTAAATGAGTTGAATTTGATTTGACTTTCGAAAATATTAAAATTTCAACCAACTTGATCAATGGAGGTTCCTAGTTTGGCCTGTATGTATGTTAAATTATTATATTTTCGGACGAGGAGCTCGACTAGTTTCAAGCCATGCTAGAGGCTCATATTCATGAGTAGCATTCCGCGACCCGCGACGCGACGACTGTCGCGCTGCTACTGGCTACTCGAGTCTGCGGGCCCAGCGCGCCCTCTACAGTGATTCACGCGCATTTTCCTCTATTTATGGTATCGGCACACTAGACTCGCCCGCCGGTAGCTGCGTTGGTGTTGGGTTCGAATCCCGGGTCAACGCAAAAACAGTGTTTCGTACCGTGGTCACTGTCACATTTATAATTTATTTAGTATGTCTCATGAAAGTTACAATACAAACATGTATGTATGTTTGTATGTTTATAAGCGATTACCTCGCGATTGGCTGAACCGGTTTTGTTGCGGTTTTCAGAAAGATGTTTTTTACATTTAGGAGAAGGTTTTTGACGGCTTTGTTGGCCGAGTGGTCGCAAGTGTGACTGCCGGGCAAGAGGTCTCGGGTTTAATTCCCGGATCGGGCAAACTATTACTATTACGGTTTTTTAAAAAAACCTCAGTGGTAGCACGGAGTCTGGAATTGTGTCCGGTATATGGCAATAGACTCACCCCCTATTACATGGGACTCATAACATAAATAGTGAAAAGTGGGTGTTACATTGTACAGTGGCATAATGCGCACCTCTTCCTACTCCTTCGGGGATAAAGACATGATGTTGTATTATGTGTTTATAAGAAGGTTTTAGTATATCAATTAAACGACTTCAAAATAGAGGTTGTAGTCGGTTTTTTTTAAACGTAGTTAATATGAAAGAATTATTATGAGAATCGGGTACTTTTATTAACTCGTCGAGTACCGGTTTTATAGACACAATTAAAGAACAATAGGTCGCGGTCACCGGTGACCGCTTGGTGTTTGACAGTTTAATCTAAACTATTATTTGAACTGTTCAATACAATAAAATATTAAAAATCATCACACTTTCATTAATTGATTTTATGACCAACTTAACTATAGTATTTTTACAGCAAATTTTTAAGAAGTAAGTACCTATGCTGTTTGACGCTAAAAAACGTGACGTCACAATACACAATCTCGTACAAAATTCATAGAAGTCTTGAATTTCTATGTTGGCAAGTACCCAATTGGACTGAGAGGGGAAAGCGATGAGTATTGCGACTAGGGTTGCCACCTTTTATTTTGGTACTTAAAATACATTGACGGTTATAGGTAAGAAAAAAAATTACACAGTACAAAAATAAAGTACAATTTATTCTTATTTAGTATAATATTTAAAATTATACTTTTTATTGCATTTTGCAGGTTGTATTAAATTAGTATCTTTACTAAAAAATTAAATTGAAATACTAAACAATTGCATCTTAACTAGAAATTGTCTAAGTGGCGCTGGCGAGCGGCGAAATCGATTCAACATAAGTCGATAAATATCGATATCGAATTTTGCAAAAATAAAGCATTTTCGTATACTTTATTATTCTTATAAAGTATAGAGTACAATTACCTTAAATAACGTACAATACTTTATTATAAAGTACGGGTGGCAACCCTAATTGCGACCCCATAACATAAGAGGAAAACCTATTGTTTCGTTTTTTTTAATAACGTTACACTACCCTACGATTCTGTCGCGGAGAACCTAACGGGTTACCGGGGCTCCGGCTCGACGCGCAGGAGAAGGAACGGGGTGGTTTTTAGTCAGTAAGAGTCTGACACTCCCTCCCGCCTCACCCAGGCGGGAGCAGGCAATCGATGATTTTCCTCCCTTAAAAAAAACCCTACGATTCTCTTCTATGACGTGGGTGCGTTTACAAACATACAAATTCACATAACACAGTACATCCAGGGTGCTTACTCTTGAAAACAATCTCAATGTCAACACTATACAACCCCTATCGTAGCTGTTAAAATAGCATTCAGAGTACGGAATACAAAGCCAAACTCAATACCATTTAGTTCATTAAATATCCACGCAATACGGATGCAAAAGGCGCTAGTGTTGCAGCTCAAGAGTACGAAATTTTACAATACCAATGTCGATCGATCGGAATTTGATTCAAGAGTAAGTCCCCTGACCCCGAAACAACAATTTGTGGATCACACAAAGAGTTCCTTCGCACGGCAACAGTGGCGACTTTTGAGAAACCGAAAAATGCCTAATAATAATTGGCCTAAACCGGTCATCGAAACTGAGACCCCTCGTTTAACGTATTTGCAAACTCGACGATCAATACAATAGGGTAGATGCCTAATTTTTATTTCAATGTCCGTCTGGTAGATTATTTTAAATCATTACACACGTATTTATTATTTTCTTACGGAAACGAATACTTTCGACGATATATTGATTTCAAATATCTTGTGATGTCACTTTTGTGTACGTTTTATACTCAGCTGTGGTAGCTAGCTCCCACTCCTAAACCTTGATTCGTTTTATTTTGTTTGCACAACAAAATAAAAATTACGTGTCTAATAACATAACATAACACCACGCCTTTTATCCCCGAAGGGGTAGAGAGAGGTGTACATTACGGCACTTAAAGTCACTGTACAATATAACTCCCACTTTTCACTATACCGGGCACAATTCCAGACTCCGTGCTACTACTGAGATTTTTTGAAAAAGCCCAGTAATACTTTGCCTGACTCGGGAATCGAACCGAGACCCCTTGCCCGGCAGTCGCAATTGCGACCTCTGCCAACGAGGCAGTCTAATCTTTTTTCTTTTAATAACTGACGGACTAATTAGATTTTTAATATTCATACACTATACTGTCATTATCCCTATTCTATTAGCAAATATACCAGACATATGTATGCATTTGAATGCCACCACTATTATACCCCGTCCCCAACAGTCACCCCATCCTTACCCCTCACCCCTCGCATTGCACATGCGCAATTTGAAATCGTCGCCACGCGGTTTTCGGTAGCCATCTTATGTTTTATAAAATCTCAATTTATAATGATGAATGAATGAATAAGTAATACTTTCTTTTGTAATTCGATTTTAAAATAGACTTCAGTACAAAGAAGTACAAAGAAGTATGTATGTTTGTTCGTCTGGAGATGTTTGCTAAATGATACCGGGTATTACCTATAAGATTACTCTAAGAAAAGCCCCGAAAAACACTCCAAAAGTCCATTATTACAGAATTTATTGTTAAGAATTCAAAGTATTACTAGGTTTTTTAAAAAAATCGCCGTAATTTGTGGCACGGAGTCTGGGATATTGCCCGCTATATGACAATAGGCTCACCCCCTATTACATGAGACTCATAACCATAACATAAATAGTGAAAAGTGGGTGTAACATTGTACAGTGGCATTAAGTGCCGTAATGTGCACCTCTGCTTACCCCTTCGGAGATAAAAGGCGTGATGTTATGTTATGTTATTAATTACACATTTGTGGCAGGCAAAGTCAAGTATTTTTAAGTGATAATAAATAGGTTTTCATATACCTATAGAAAAACAATAAAACTAAAGTACCTAAAGAAAAAAAATAAGTACAACAAAATAATAAAATTGAATATAAAAAAACAATATCTTACCTGATATTCGAAATTCCTGCAATTTTCTACTCAGTATAGGTCTTGAAAACGATTTTAAACGCCATAAATTAAAGTAATTTATAATTGCGTCGCGAAATCAGGAGCGACACACGTCCTGCCTCCCCGACGCGCGAGGCTGGAATGAATCAATACCAGACTTTAGACCAGACAGTCGCTACAAGCGAATAGGGTTGTTCTTTAGTATTGATGTTAATTTATCGATATGTATGTAGTTCGAAACTGGTACCGGATTCATTGACATTCGAATATTTAATAACAATATGGTTTAAAGTTTACAAATGCGGTTGACAGCCTGTGTAACGAAATAAATTATGGTTAGTCTACAAATAGAATAAGATCGTTTGTAAACTGTGATTGTAATCATATGTAATATTAATAAAGAACTTGAAAAATATTAAAAAAATAATCTTCCTTTTTGGGAAGTTCGGTTGAAAATAAAAATGAATACGAATTATTTCAGTCTTTATTTAAAAAAAAAACATATACAAATGACGTCTTGTTGTTAATTATTTATGATACTGCCTCGTTGGCCGAGTGTTCGTAGGTGTGACTGCCGGGTAAGGGGTCTCGGGTTCGATTTAAGAGTCGTGCAAAGTATTACTGGGTTTTTAAACATTCTCAGTAGTAGCACGGGGTCTGAAATTGTGCCCTGTATATGGCAATAGGCTCACCCTCTAGTACATGGGACTCATAACATAAATAGTGAAAAGTAAGTGTTACATAGTTTTTATTTTAAGGGGGGAAAATCATCGAATTACCGCTCCCCCCTGGGTGAGGCGGGAGGGAGTGTCAGACTCTTACTGACTAAAAACCACCCTGTTCCTTCGAGCCGGAGCCCCGGTTACCCGTTAGGTTCTCCGCGACGGTGTTACATAGTACAGTGACATTAAGTGCCGTAATGTGCACCTCTGCCTACCTTTGAATATAAAAGGCGTGATGTTATGTAATATTATTTTGATTTTAACTTTACTACGTTACTTTTAAGTCACTTCCATATTATAATGTATCGTTAAAGATAAACGAATTATATTTATAATTCATCAGCTGAAATGCAGTCTGTGTAGTCGCTTGCATGTCAATCTATCCCTATGTGCAAAACGTTATTATTACATTTTCGACTTTATACCATAACAATTAAGTTAAAAATCGGACACAGGAAAAACAGAATGCTGCAGATTAATGAACTGTATCTAAATGAAACAGGAAATACTAGTTTATAAAATGATGATTTTATCCTTTACATTATAGAGATCTTTAGGTTCAAACTTGTGTGCAATGTTTAACACATTTTTATTAGGTCGACCTGTACCGGACTATGTAACACAATCTAAGAATCTGAATTACACACACTTGTAATTGTTGTATCGTCGGGAAACTCGGCAGTTGTATGTAGATTAGACGACAATACAATATTATGGCGCCGTCGAGCTGGTTTGATGGTGGAATCGGAAGTTGGAACCCACATTCTTAAAAATGAATAGTGCAAATCTATTTATTTATTTTTTAATAAAGAGATTAATGTGGAAATGGGCAGGTCACTTGATAAGAGGCAAAGAAAAATGGAGCAAAATTGTTACTCAGTGGTACCCAAGAGAAGGTCATAGATTGAGAGGAAGACCTAATAAAAGATGGGATGAGGACATTCGCCAAGTAGCTGGAAATACATGGCTCAGAGTGGCAAATGAAAGGTCAGAATGGAGAAGGTTGGAGGAGGCCTATGCCAACTGGCAAACGGATCTGAAAAAATTAGTAAAAACCAAATTCGTGAGTGATATTAATTTTTTTGTAACCACCACAAAAATCTGGCCATTATTTGGACCGGGTATCATCATCATCAATAACCAAAAGACGTCAATTCCTGGACAAAGGCCTCCCCCTTGGTCCTCCACGTCGAACGACAACTCGCCACCGGCATCCACTGGCTCCCCGCAACTCTGGCGATGTCGTCGGTCCACCTAGCGGGAGGCCTGCCCACGCTTCGTCTTCCGGTCCGTGGTCTCCACTCTAGGACTTTCCTGGCCCATTTACCATCAGTCCTTCGAGCGACGTGGCCTGTCCATTGTCACTTCAGTCTGCAGATTTTGCGAGCTATGTCGGTCACTCTTGTTCTTTGGCGAATTTTTATATTTCGGATTTTTATCGCAAAGAAACCCCGAGCATAGTTCTCTCTATCGCGCACCGGGCGACTTTGAGTATTATGAAAACCCTTTTTTTTAGAGAGGAAAATCATCCAATGACTTCGTCCTCCTTAGGCGACTCTTACTGACCAAACATCACCGCGTTCCTATTCCTGCTTCGAACCACGGAGCTCCGATTACCTGCAAGCTCGCCATACACGGAACCCTTACACAATTATGATCTCACTTGTCACTATTATGTTATAAACAAGTTTATATTCAACCAGTCGTGGCTACAATGTCATGACAGCAACATGTGTGGAGACATAACTATTTGAAGTTATAAAACAATAATTTTGGAATTATTCTGTTTAATAATGTTTGCAGTATTGTTTTTATTGTGTTTATGGTTGCGGTGAAGTCGCAAGGTAAGTTCTTTTTGTTTAAATTTTAATTTGGACCTGTTATTTGATATTTGTGTGAGTAAATTTATTATAGAGGATATTTTTATTATATGCATGCATGTTCGGCGACGGTGACCTCTCGCGTCCGGCCCTAATGCGGGCCATGAAGCGGAGCGAGGGGGACTGGGATGAGGAAGGCGTCTCCTCCTTTTGCGAAGCAGTCATGCTAGCTAAGGAGGAGGCGGGGCGCATGAGGCAACGAAGCGCTGCTTTCTCACAGCCCAGCCGTCGCGAAGGACACTCCGGGCGTAAGTGCGGGCCTGCGGACGATGAGCATGGGTAGTTCGTCGCCCGTCCGTCCGTTCGTCGATTGTCGACCTCATCGTTTGCTTGATCAAATTGACGTGTAAATGTGCTGCCTTGTAGCCTATTTGTAGAAATAAATTCACTTATTTCACTTGACCAGAACCAGACCCGAGCGTACGGCGCGTCGCGTTCCGCCCGTGCCTCAATGAGCCATCAGACCACTACGGATGAGGCCCAATAGGGCTGATGCCGATACGGATTCGCGGAGAACCTAACGGGTTACCGGGGCAGGAGTGCAGGAGTAGGAATGGGGTGGTTTTTAGTCAGTAAGAGTCTGACACTCCCTCCCTCCTCACCCAGGCGGGAGCAGGCCTTCGATGATTTTCTCACACTCACTGTCAACCATAGCTTGCACTACCGTTGGCAACGAGAGATCATTCCTGCCGGTGTTTTGGGTCCTGACAGGCTAGCAGATGACCCATTCGGTCGACCATTTCAATATGGCACGTGATGCACCAAACATTCTGTATAATAAGTATAAGATATATTGGACACAAGTTCTGACTATAAAATATTTATGTTCCAGAATGCACACATACAGACAACGGCCAGAAAGGAAGATGTGTCAATATGGAGGGTTGTCCGACTGCGATCAGAGATTTGAAATTTAACATACATCCCCACGTAAGTAATAACTGAATCAAACAAAATGTGATCATGATAATTTTTATGCCTTGGATAAGATTAACACTAGCTAGACACTTTGGCAATGCATAGAGATGTAGCTTCGATGTGCATTTTCTATCGCTTGCACCACGGGGAGTGCTTTGACGAATTGTTCGACCTGCCGCATCTTTTCGCCATCGACCCTCACGACAGCATATGCATCCCCATCATATAGATGGTTGGCAGGCCACAACTGTGCGCTTTTCACATAGCTTTCTGCCTCGCACAGCAAAACTGTGGAATGATCTGTCATTGGTGGTATTTCCGAACCGATACGACTTTCAAACCTTCAAGAAAAGAGCGTACTCCTTTTTAAAAGGCCGGCAACGCAACTGTGGCTCCTCTGGTTTTGCGAGTGTCCATTGGCAGTGCTGATCTCTTACCATCAGGTGACTCGTGTGCTCGTTTGCCTCCTATTCTATAAAAAGAAGATTGAAAACCGAGATCTGATTGAAACCGTTCAAAGTGTGGGAGAGCCATGCTTCGGCATGAATGGGCCGGCTCGACCGGGGTGATACCATGGCCGAGCAGAAAACTGATGTGGAACAACGCTTGCGTTGTGTTTCGTCGTGTGAGTGAGGTTACTAGAGGCCCAATCTCTCCAACCCTTGAAGCCCGAACATCTTCAAAATCCTAACCCCCAAAAGGCCGGTAACGCACTTGTAACGCCTCTGGTGTTCCAGGTGTACATGGGCGATACCAATTGCTTCCCATCAGGTGATCCGTCTGGTCGTTTACCAGCTTATCCCATTAAAAATACCAATGTGACTTTTTTCGAGTTTTATCTACTTTCTAAGATTATTTGGAAACCACTGACAAACGGTAAAGGAAAACACCGTGAGGAAACCTAGGCTTATAATTACTAACTATGAGTTTGAAATCACCTGCATTGAGCAAACGTGGTGATTAATGCTTAAACCTTCTCCGTGTGAGAAGAGGTCTTTGGTCAGCAGTGGCCACTTATAAGCTGATGATGATGATGTTAATTTATTTTGTTTATTTTCTGCCATGATCGTCCCCCTGCAGGGCAAAGGCCTCCCTAACCTCCTTCCACTCGTCTCAATGTAAAGCTTTTTGCGGCCAATACTTGTCATATATGTCCAATCCGTCCCGTCATCTCCTTTTGGGCCTGCCGCGACCTCTGATGACGATCATCTCCTGATGATTAAGTGCTATTTCTTATTAATTTATATGAATATTGTTTTCAGATTTGTTCATTCAACGGGACGTCAAAAATACCTATCATTTGCTGTCTGGAAGAAGCTAAGAATATTACGGCGTATGTACAATTTTTTACATTTAAATTAGGTTGACGTGTACCGAACTATGTTACACAATCTAAGAATCTGAATTACACACACTTGTAATTGTTGTATCGTCGTGAAACTCGGCAGTTGTATGTTTTTTTATATATATTTGATGGGGCGACGTTTGACCATTATCTCAACCTGGTGGTAAGCGATGTTGCGGTCTACGATGGAGCATGTCGTCCCATAAGCAACCTATTCACTCGGGCCTTGAAGACACCAGGTTATACCTTTGAGGAAATACAGATTCTGGCAAAGAAATCCACTCTTTAGCAGTACGCACAAGAAAGCTTGAAGCGAAGCGCTTCGTGCGTGTGGGTGGGACATCTACCATGAATCGGTGACGCTTCACCGATTGTCTTGTGGTACGATGATAGAAAGGACTAGGGGGAATCAAGTTGTGCAATTCCCCCGCACACTCACCGAAATGTATCCGGTAGAAAACCGAAAGTCTTGTGTATTGTAATCTTTTGTAGATTAGAATGACAATACAATATTATGGTGCCGTCGACCTGGTTTGATAGTGGAATTGGAAGGTGGCTGATGGAACCTTGAGCTACTAGTAACATATCGAGTTTGGGCTCATTGGATATATTGATTTCTCCTGATGACACGAACACAATATACCAGGGTCGTTAGTTGAAAACACAAAAGTTGTAGATCTTTTCAATAATATCTACATCTTTACCATTGAATAGGGTGCTTACTCTTAAAACCAATCTCAAGGTCAATACAATAAAATCTCAATAATTATTCAATGTCAAAACTATACAACCCCTATCGTAGCTATTAAATTAGCATTCATGTTATAATTTCCTCAAAACAACTATCAGCGCCACCTGTTAACAGCAATGTACATCAGTGACCTTATAATAAAATTCATCCCATTCCTTCTGTCTTGTTGAGAAGAAAGCACGTTGTTTTATTTCATATAAATTAATAATAAATTATTAATAGGTTATGGGCCCAGAACGTATAGATCTGGCATAATCTGATTAGTTTCTCGCGACAGTGTATTATTTTTTTTACAATAGTTGCAGTAAAGGAACAGTATAGTTGTGAAATAAGTGCTTGTGTAGTTCAGTGAAAAATGGCGTCGCATTCAAATTATTTAATAAACGTTCCCAAGCTCAAAGGACGCGAAAATTACTTGGAATGGTGTTTCGCGGCAGAAAATTTTCTTGTGTTGGAAGGCACGCTTGGAATTATCAAACCAGAAGCAGGTCAACCAGCAATTTCTGCAGCCGAAGATGCTAAAACCCGTGCTAAATTGATTTTAACAATAGATCCTTCTATTTATGTGCACATCAAAGCAGTTACATCTACAAAGGAATTATGGGATAAACTTAAATCTTTATATGACGATTCGGGATTTACTAGAAGAATAAGCCTATTGAGAAGTCTCATATCAATTCGTCTGGAAAATTCTCCTTCAATGAATTCCTATGTTACTCAGTTAGTGGAAACGGGACAAAAATTAGCGGGAACAGGATTTAACATCAGTGACGAATGGATAGGTTCATTATTATTGGCTGGATTAACTGAAAAATTCTCCCCAATGATAATGGCAATCGAACATTCGGGGATGCATATTACAACGGACGCCATTAAATCAAAGTTACTTGACATGGAAATGGAAACAGAAGTGAATGAAAGCGATAGTGCTGCCTTTGGAAGTTTTAAAAGTAGGCCGTACCAACATAAGAAACCGATAGAAAAAACTAAAAGTCTGTTTCTAAGCAAAGATAAAGATGGCGGGCAGATGCACATGTCGAAACCCAAAGTTATTAAATGTTTTAAGTGCAAAAAGTTGGGACACTATCGGAATCAGTGCACAAGTACTGTGAAAGAAATGGAAAATAAACAAACAAACGCATTTAGTGCAGTCTTCCTTAATGGTTTTTATAGTAAGACTGACTGGTATATTGACTCGGGAGCGAGCGTGCATTTAACAACAAATGAACATTGGATTCAGAATGCACGTTATGATCACAGCATGAAAGAAATCGTAGTGGCGAACGACAGCAAAGTGCAAGTTACATGTTTTGGTGACGTAAAAATTACTACATGTGCAAATAATTGTAATTATGATGTTACAGTTGAAGAGGTTATGTGCGTTCCAAGTCTGACAACAAATCTACTTTCCGTGAGTCAATTAATAAACAAAGGCAATAAAGTATCCTTCAGAGAGAGTGGTTGTGATATCTACAACAGAATGGGAAATTTGGTGGCCACAGGCACCTTAGTCAATGGGGTGTACAAACTGAATACACCAGTGCACCTGTCAGCAGCAGCGGTGGTATCTAATGAGATGTGGCATCGAAGACTTGGTCATGTCAATAGTACTTACCTGAATAAAATGCAGAAAGCTGTTGAAGGCTTATCCATTGAAGAGAAGGCAGATATAAGCAAAAATTCCTGTATAACTTGTTGTAAGGGGAAGCAGAGCCGTTTGCCGTTCCCCAGCAATGGCAACAGAAGCACTCAGTTACTTAATGTGGTGCATACCGACGTGTGCGGACCAATGGAGAATGTCTCCATAGGAGGATCAAGGTACTTTATAATATTTATTGATGATTATAGTCGAATGACTTACATTTATTTTATGAAGAATAAACATGAAGCTTTTCAATGTTTTAAAGACTATTCAGCTAAGGTAGAGAATTTACTTGATCGTAAAATTAAGGTGTTACGAAGTGACAATGGCCTTGAGTTTTGCAGCAATGAATTTAAAAACTTTTTAAAGCAAAAAGGCATAGTTCATCAAAAGTCCAATCCCTATACACCACAGCAAAACGGATTAAGTGAAAGAATGAACCGCACTATTGTAGAAAAGGCTAGATGTTTATTGTTTGATGCTAACATGAATAAAGAGTTCTGGGCTGAGGCAACTAATACTGCTGTTTACTTACAGAACCGGACAGTATCAGCCACTTTAAATAATAAAACTCCTTATGAATTGTGGACTAATAATAAACCTGATATTAGTCACATCCGAGTGTTTGGTAGTACCATAATGAAGCATGTGCCTAAAGAAAAGAGGCTAAAATGGGATGAGAAATCTGAAGAGTGTATCCTGGTGGGTTATGCTGAAGATACAAAAGGATATAGAATATATAATCCTCAAACCAAGGTAATTACTACAAGCCGAGATGTGATTGTTATCGAGAAGGACAAGAGCAGCAATGTAATAGTAAATGAGAAGAATTTGGAAACTAATTTAGAAGAGCAGAAGAGTTCAGATTCAGTGGGGGACAATAGTCAGTCAGATGAGTCATTCATCTCTGCAGATAATGCTGATGATTCTACATTTGTGCTAGATGAAAGTGTAAACTCAGACAGTTCTACTGCAAGTACTAGCAGTATGGTAAAGAGATTACCTGCTAGAGAACGAAAGCCACCAAAGAGGTATGGTTATACATGTATGAGTACAACGAGTACCACTGTTAATGACAGTGAGTTATCTTTGGAGGAAGCTCTAAATGGTCCAGAGAAGGAACATTGGTTGCGTGCTGTTCAGGAAGAACTACAGTGCTTCGAAGATAATAATGCATGGGAGCTTGCGGATGCTCCATTAGATAAGACAATTGTGAAGTGTAAGTGGGTTTTAAAAAAAAAGTGTGACAGTAAAAATAACATTTGTTATCGTGCTAGACTAGTTGCTAAAGGGTGCAGTCAGAAAAGTGGTATTGATTACAAAGAGACATTTTCCCCTGTAGTTAGGCATACTAGTTTGCGATTGTTGTTTGCTTTAGCTGTACAATTAGATTTAAATACTAGCCATCTGGATGTTAAGACTGCGTTTCTTAACGGAGAATTGGAAGAAGTCATATATATGCAAAGGCCAGACTGTTTAGAATGTTCTAATGATGACAAATGTAAAGTTCTAAAGTTAAACAGGGCTATATATGGTTTAAAACAATCCTCCAGAGCATGGCATAAAAAGGTTGATAATGTTATGTTAACTAGTGGTTATAAAAATTCCAAATTAGAACCATGTTTGTATACAAAAATTGTAAATGGTCTCAGGACAATAGTTACTTTATATGTTGATGATTTTTTCATATTTTCTAATGATAGTGAAGAAACTAAGTTGTTAAAAGAGACTTTGAGTAGCCAATTTAAAATTAAAGATTTAGGCCAGATAAAACAATGTCTTGGTATAAATGTTAATATTGATAAAGAGAATAATTTTATTACTTTGAGCCAAGAAAACTATATTGATCAGTTATTATTTAAATTTAATATGTGTGAGAGTAAAGCTGTAGATACTCCACTGGAAGTTAAGTTAAATATTGAGAAATATGAAGGTACAAATAGTGATAATCCTTACCAGCAGCTCATAGGGAGCCTGATGTACTTAGCAGTACTTACAAGGCCAGATATTGCCTATGCAGTAGGATACTTAAGTCAATTTAATAAATGTCATAGTGATAAACATTGGACGTATGCAAAACGAATATTAAGATATTTAAAGAAAACTAGAAATTTAGGTTTAAAGTATTGTAAAATAGGTAATGTTAATATTCAAGGTTATGTTGATGCCGATTGGGCAAATGATCCTACAGACAGAAGATCATATACTGGTTTCTGTTTTATGTTGTCAGGTTCAGTCATTTCATGGAGCTGTAAAAAACAAAGAACTGTAGCGCTTTCGAGCACAGAAGCCGAGTACATGGCTATTACCGAAGGTTGTAGAGAAGCTGTGTTTCTCTTAAATTTGCAATGTGAGATTACTGAACAAATGTATACAATTAATTTATATAATGATAATCAAAGCTCACAAAAATTGTCTGAGAATCCTATGTTTCATAACAGAACTAAACATATAGATGTTCAGTATCACTATTGTAGAGAAGTAATTTCTAAAAAGTTTGTTAAAGTTAATTATTTACCCACCAGCAATATGCCAGCTGATATGTTGACTAAAAGTTTGTGTTCAACTAAACATTATAAATTTATAAATATGTTAGGCATTGTAAATGTATTAGAATAATATAGTATTTTGAGAGTGGGGGTGTTATAATTTCCTCAAAACAACTATCAGCGCCACCTGTTAACAGCAATGTACATCAGTGACCTTATAATAAAATTCATCCCATTCCTTCTGTCTTGTTGAGAAGAAAGCACGTTGTTTTATTTCATATAAATTAATAATAAATTATTAATAATTCAGATTACGGAATATAAAGCCAAACCCAATACCATTTAGTTGTCGCGGAGAACCTAACGGGTAACCACCGGGGCTCCGGCTCGACGTGCAGGAGAAGGAACGGGGTGGTTTTTAGTCAGTAAGAGTCTGACACTCCCTTCCGCTTCGCCCAGGCGGAAGCAGTCATTCGATGATTTTCCCGCAAAAAAAAATACCATTTAGTTCACTAAATATTCACGCAATACGGATGCAATGGGCGTTTTTTTTTTTTTTTTTTTTTTTTTTTTTTTTTTTTTTTTTTTTTTTTTTTTTTTTTTTTTTTTTTTTAAGGGGGGAAAATCATCGAATGACTGCTCCCGCCTGGGTGAGGCGGAAGGGAGTGTCAGACTCTTACTGACTAAAAACCACCCCGTTCCTTCTCCTGCACGTCGAGCCGGAGCCCCGGTTACCCGTTAGGTTCTCCGCAACTCCGAATCGGCATCGGCCCTATTGGGCCCCATCTGTGGTGGTCTGATGGTTCTTTGAGGCGCGCGCGGAACGCGACGCGCCGTACGCTCGGGTATGCAATGGGCGCTAGTATTACAACTCGAGAGTACGAAATTTTACAATACCAATGTCGATCGATCGGTATTGCATTCAAGAGTAAGCCCACTGATTTCGTTAGGACTTGTAGTTTTGGCGAAAATCAAGATAAACCATTTTTACCCTTAAAAGCTCACCCTCCCACATCCCGATCTCGAATCGCCCGTAATTTATTTTTCCTTTCATTTTTATCATATTCCCCTCCTGTTCTAGTGGGTTTCAACTAACAGCAATCTATGATCACTTTTTACCTTTTTGAAGGCTTCGGCATTATATAAGGTGTTGTTTTAAAGCCGCGTCATTTTCTAGGAGGTAACTCGGTTATCGATACTGAGTCCGAATCAATAAAAAAAATTGTAGGTAAATATTTTTCATTTTTCTGTAATTTACGAAAATCCGTAATTGCGAAATACACGCCGACGTCTTGTAACTTGCTTTATAACGCGGCTCTACACACACAAACTCAAACACGTAATTGATATTACTCCTAATTCCATAAAACTCCAATAAGAAGCATTGCTGTCGCTTTTCTGAAATACTGTCCAACTTAAACGATTTATTATAGCCGTATTTTTAACTATTGGCCCGAAACTTTCTCTTACATTGAACCTTTATGACTTCTGTGACATGCCCCCGAGAAATGACACGGTTTCAAAACTACACCTTATATACGTATTTTATAACAACGAATTTACCATAATATGTTTTTTTTTCAGGATCCTAGGTCCAGACGCGCTGACCTCAAGTATGGAAGACCAGGGATTGTGTCCGCTATTCGACTCCAATGCGCCAAATAATACGAAACCAAAAAACGTACCCGAAACATCCAAAGCTTGGAATAGTAAGTACTTCAATAAGGGATTGCCTTATTGGATGGGTGTTTTTAGGATTGCCTCGTTGGCCGAGGGGTCGCATGTGTAACTGCCGGGCAAGGGGTCTCGGTTTCAATTCCCGGGTCGGGCAAAGTATTGCTGAGTTTTAAAACCTACCTAGGTATCTATGTTGATCAACTTTATACACCGATAGTTTGATAATAATTATGTACCTAATTTGTTTATACAAATTAATATAATACTTACTAAACCTAATTACCTACTCAAAATTATGATGTTTCGGGAGTTTTATTTTCCGAGATTAATGTAGACCAAATTTTTTTTTAATCATGTGATACCTTCTGCCTACCCTACTTCAAATACCTGTGCACGCCTCTGAGTAGCACGGAGTCTGGAATTATGCCTGGTTTATGGTAATAGGGGGTCACTTATTAATACTTTGCCTGACCCGAGACCCTTTGCCCGGCAGTCGTACTTGCGACCAGTCGGTCAACGAGGTAATCTTCTATGTCCCGTGTTGCGAAATTGTTACAAGAAAGCTTTTTTTGTATGGAACCGGTCGGCAAACGAGCAGACGGATCACCTGATGGTAAGCAATCGGCGTCGCCCATGGACAACATCAGAGAAGTCACAAGTGCTTTGCCGGTCTTAAGGATTTGGAAATGGAAATTTGGTTATTGGGGTTTGAGGATTGGGGGTTGGGATTGGGGGTTGGGATTGGGGATTGGCGATTTGGATTGGGGTTTGGGGATTGGGTGTTGCAGATTGGGACTTGGGGATTGGGCATTGGGCATTGGGATTGCGGATTTGCGGTTGGGGATTGGGATTGGGATTGGGGATTGGGGATTGGGGATTGGGGGTTGGGGATTGGTGATTGGACATTAGGCATTGGGCTTTGGGCATTGGGAATTGGGTATTGGCCATTGGGCATTGGACATTGGGAAATGGGCATAGGGCATTGGGCATTGGGCATTGGGGATTGGGTATTCAGGAAATTGCGGTGGGAGATAGACTCCAGTAACCTCGTTTATACATTTTTTTTATTTCTAACATGTCACTTAAGGCGCGTCTAAACGGGCAATATTTTACGGCAATTTGTGGCTGCAATACTGTGGCCGGCAACATTGCTAGCAATACCAGCCAACATTATGCAATATTTCAAGGATTTTTTTTTTAAGGGGGGAAAATCATCGAATGACTGCCCCCGCATGGTGAGGCGGAAGGGAGTGTCAGACTCTTACTGACTAAAACCCACCCCGTTCCTTCTCCTGCACGTCGAGCCGGAGCCCCGGTTACCCGTTAGGTTCTCCGCGACTCCGAATGGCCCGGCATTATAGCCACATATTTTTTGGTATGTCAAGATGTTTTATGTGTAGCCGGCGTGTGGCCGAACGATCGCTTCGCAATCGAAAATACTGCAATATATCTGGGCCATCTATGTATATTGCTGTTTTGTTTTATTGTATATGCGCGTCCCTATCTTCCTGCAACTATTAACCCTGTAAAAATCTCTGGGACAATAGTTGAAATTGAATACACTCTGAAAAGGTAAAGGACTGCCTCATTTGTCGAGTGGTCGCAAGTGCGACTGCCGGCCAAGCGGTCTCGGGTTCGATTCGCGGGACGGGCAAAGTACTACTGGGTTTTAAAAAATTCTCAGTGATAGCACGGAGTCTGGAATTGTGCCCGGTATATGGCAATAGGCTCACCCCCTATTACATGGGACTCATAACATAAATAGTGAAAAGTGGGTGTTACATTGTACCTACAGTGGCATTAAGTGCCGTAATGTGCACCTCTGCCTACCCCTTTGGGGATAAAAGGCGTGATGTTATGTTATGTCTGAAAAGGTACATCAAACACTTGAAAGACTCTCCAGCCAGTAATCTTGTAGTCACAGCTATTGCATTCCTCATGTTTGTATCTTACCTTTGTAATATGTTTGGTCCAATTCTTGAAAAATTTTGACGTGACAACGTCTTATAAATTGGTTTGCCGGGTGACACTTCAAGAAGCTGCGTTACGCTCCGCTCACAATGAGAGCGAGTGAGAGGCACGCGTCCCTTCCACTCGGGCATGGTTAGCCCGCCTAAGAGCGAGAGAGACAGACATAAAAAGTGAAAGACACGCGTCCCTTCCACTCGAGCACAGTTCATCCTTCTTCCTACTATACGAATGAATATTCACATTAAAATTATTTTACCACTCAAAGTCGTTGTCACGTAAAACTTTCGCCCGTACACCGACTTTACAGGCAACCAATTTTTTAAATAAGTATTTATCCATCATTAAACTGTCAAACACCAAGCGGTCACCGGTGACCGCAACCTATTGTTCTTTAATTGTGTCTATAAATACGGTACTCAACGACTTAATTTCATGTCTACGGCATCCAAAGTGTCGAGTCCACATTCGGGTCTAGGCTGCGATGAGCGTCATTTCGTCGGCCATTGTTGCTGGATTGTGTGGCTCATTAAAGAGTCCTAAATCAAAGGCCATACTATTGCAGCCGTATTGCAACATGTTGTCTGCAATTGATTGTTCAGCCATAAAATTAACCAAAATGTTTTTTTAATTGGGCCAAGCCCGCCAAAACCTCATAAAACCGCTGCAACTCCTGTAAGCCAGGATCTACAGTAGATACAACCATGAAGACACCGGGACACTGAAGTCCGGCGCATCCCAGGGACATGAGTAACTGTCTTGGTTCCCGCAACGAAGTGAATCAGAAGATATTATAAGAGGAGAAGAAGAAAATGTTTGCTAATAATTGCAGCCACAAATTGTCGTAAAATATAGCCCGTTTAGACGCCCCTTTAGGACAGGTATTTGGTATGTTTTAGAATGCCTCGAGTATCAAGCAAAAATAAAACTACCTTGTAAAGATGGTGTAAAAAAGTTTTGGCCATATTGCAATAAACAGTTGGGACTAATTATAGTGGGAGGAGGGGGGGTAGATGCTGAGAAAGATGAATTCCCTCATATGGTAAATATGTTTTTTTTTATTTTTTTTTATGACATAAGCCGGTAAACGAGCAGACGGATCACCTGATGGTAAGCAATCGGCGGCCCTCATGGACACCTGGAACACCAGAGACGTTACAAGTGCGTTACCGGCCTTTTGGGGATAAGGAGTTTGAGGATCGTTGGGGATTCAGGGATTGGGGAGATTGGGGAAGGGGAGGGAGGGAGTAATTGGGCCTCCGGTAACCTCACTCACACGACGAAACACAACGCAAGCGTTGCTTCACGTCGGTTTTGTGTGAGGCCGTGGTATCACTTCGGTTGAGCCGGTCCATTCGTGCCGAAGCATGGCTCTCCCACACTTTAAATGTCTGACCAATATAATTAATAATTTTTGGACATTTTCTGAAAGTAACCCGGCGCTAACGAAAAAAAAAATGGTACGTATCGTTAGATCTAGCCATTTGGAGCGATAATTGAAATAAATGCTTTGATTTTGACTTTCATACATTTATTGCTTTCTAAAGGTGCTGGGTGTTAATTACCGAAGTAACGTTGGCCTACTGTAGCTACTAATAGGGTTTAATTGAAACTTCGTATTAGTGCTTGAACTGCTGGTTCATAATATATTTGTGTTGATCTGATCTCAATACAAACAAAAAAATTACCATCTTAAGCAAGTCGTTGTAGCAAAACCATAGCTTGCTTTTAATCGTGGCAACGCCATCTAGTTACAAAAATTGAACTAAATAAATCAATATCAATTTTATGGTTCTGTTACTTTGGTGTTGGGTTTTGATCATCAACACTAGGAAACGCAAAATTATTATTTATTGCTAGAATAAAAAATCTGAGCATTATACTGAATATAACCAGTACCATTTTTTTCGTTATACAAATGTTCCAATAATGTATGAAGCCGAAATGATCTCTTTTAGAACTGGGATAGGTAATGATCTGAAATAACACACAGGCTAAATAATACGGAACTTAGTTTTTGCTATAAGTAAACGAGCAGACGGATCACCTGATGGTAAGCAATCAGCGCCGCCCATGGACACCCGCAAGTCCATGAAGACGCGCTCGCAATACCAGAGGAGTTGTATATTCGTTGCTGGTCTTCTTGATTTTGATTACATTTAGCCTCGAATAGCCACGTATAGCTCCGGTTAGTAACATTTTAGCCATAAAATTGTATGACAAGGGCATGGACCAAGAGTCCGTGGAGAATTAACCTGTAACATTAAAAAAAAACATTTTAGCCTCTCGGAATGTCACGTAGGTACTTTGGAACGTCGTGTAGCAAATCTGAGCTTCGCGTAGACACTTGTAACATCGCGTAGCAAATGTTACCTTGCGTTGCTACGTTCAACTTTGCTTAGCGCTACGCACACACTTCGAACGTATTATAGTGTCGAGTAGCAAATCGTAGCTTCGCGTAGAAAATCGTAGCAAATCGTAGCCTCGCGTAGCCTTGCATAACCTCGCGTAGCTTCCTGTAGCATCTCAAAGAATTACGTAGCTTCATGTGGCACTGCGTAATACAGCATAAAAGAATAGTTTGAAGATATGTATCGAATGTAATTTGATCATTTGTTGCAGACATTGCTGATGTATGGTAAAAAGTCGATAAGATCGTTCTTTGGATGTGGAGGCTCTCTAATAAGTGAGAAGTACGTTCTGACAGCTGGACATTGCACTGCCACCTCTAGAGGGTGAGTACTTATAATTTTTTTATGGTATTGGGCGGAAAACATGCAGACGAATCACCTGATGGTAAACATTAAGCAATCGGTGCCACCGCAACACTAGAGGACTATTTTTTTTAATATTTGATGGACCGACGTTTGACCACTATCTCGCCTGGTGGTAAGCGATGATGCGGTCTACGATGTCAAAGTCAAAGTCAAAGTCAAAATCATTTATATCAATTTGACCAGAAAGGCACTTTTGAACGTCAACAAAAAATTAAAAGTGAAGCTAGTTGCTCATTCCAAAGTGTAGATTCCTATGGAGAAGAACGAGCAAGAAACTCCATAGGTTACTCTTTTTCAATCAGGTTTACAATACAATTCTCTAGTTACATAGTTTGCTGTTTGGATTGTGCGAGAACATTGCAACAATAAAATCTAGTCAAAGTGATCGTAAAAGAAAGTAACCTTAAGGACAGTAAATAATACAGTCTGGAGCTGACCAGTCACAGTTGACGGCGCCCGTTCACGAACATGACACGTACACTAGCACCGCCCAACTCAACCATATTGTAGGGAATCGAGCGATCCACTGCACGCACCACCGCCAATGAGACCTTTGAGTGAGCATGACAACTCCAAGATGGAACACGTCGTCCCATAAGCAACCAATTTACTCGGTCCTTGAAGACACCCAGGTTATACCCTTCAGGAAATACAGATTCTGGCAAAGAATTCCACTCCTTAGCAGTACAAGGTTTCTAAAGGTCGGCAGGGCGCAAGTAATACCCCAAGTGTTGCAAGCGTTCATAGGCCACGGTAACTGCTTACCATCAGGTGAGTCGTGTACTTTTTTGCCACTGTTTTGGTATAAATCGTCCAGTTAGTATTAGTGTGCCCAGTGTCACGTGTCTTTACATTGCTCTCACATATATGTATAATATTGGAATATGTACGTATCAGAGAGATTGTAAAACTTACTCTTTTTAATAGAGTAACAAATGAAGGTTTTTGCTCGATTTTCTTCATTCGAGGTCTACATTTTGGAATGAGCTAGCTTCACTGGCGAACAGACTGACAGACTATTATTTATTTTGTATTTGTTGACGTTTTAAAAGTAACAAATTATGTTTTAATTGAAATAAACGCTTTGATTTTAAGTCTGTCTGTTAAAACAATTCCTTAGTCGGGTATATGATTCAACGAGAAGAATGGACTGTCGCCGCGTAGCAAGTCGCGAAATACTGCTCATGAATATGAGCCTCTAGCATGGCTTAAAACTAGTCGAGTTCCTCGTCAAATAATTACGTGAGTGAGCCGAAAACATAATAATTTAAGAATAGGGGTGTTGATGAATGCATTCTATTCTGTTACCACAAAGACTAGTACAATAGAATTATTTGTCTAGGACTTATGATTCATACTTTTCCTTCTCCATTTGATTTCAGGATTCCTGTTTCGTTCGCTATATTTGGACTTCTCCACTTTAAGGACATGCACAGTGCGCCCAAAGAGAATGTTCGAGGGATACAGAAGATTATCAAGCATCCAGAATTTAAGCCTCCCTCCACCTACCATGACATAGCCCTGCTAGAACTAGATAAAGAGTAACCACATTTCATAATATAACATAACAAAACATCGTGCCTTTTATCCCCGAAGGAGTGGGCAGGGGTGCACATTACGGCACTTAATGCCACTGTACAATGTAACACCCACTTTTCACTATTTATGTTGAGTTCCATGTAACAGGGGGTGAGCCTATTGCAATATACCGAGGACAATTCCAGACTCCGTGCTACCACTGACATTTAATTTTTAAATTCCAGTAATACTTTGCCCGACCCGGGAATCGAACCCGAGACCCCTTGCGCGACAGTCGCACTTGCAACCACTCGGTCGACGAGGCAGTTCTTATTATAGTTGTGATCATATTATAAACTATCTTCTGACCGCGGCGTTGCCTGCGTCTCCGTGGGATATAAAGTAGCCTATATGTTACCCTGGACCATAATCTATCCTTGTTCCAAATTTTATCGCGATCCCTTCAGCCGTATTAATGTGAAGGAGGAACAAACAAACAAACATACGCATTTATGTAATATTAATATAGTCGGACTGCCTCGTCGCCCGAGTGGTCGCAAGTGCGACTGCCGGGCAAGGGGTCTCGGGTTCGATTCCCGGGTCGGGCAAAGTAAAGAACTTGCACGGTTCTCACACATAATCTATTATACATATTGTCTGGACTTTAAAAGAGACAGACCTCTGAGTTTGTTTCGGCATTTCTTCTCAGAGTAGTCAGTTAGGAAATGTCGACCTCATCGTTCGCTTGATAAAATTGACGTGTAAAAGTGCTGCCTTGTAGCCTATTTGCAGAAATAAATTCACTTGTTTCACTTATTACTGGGTTTTAAAAAAATCTTAGTAGTAGCACGGAGTCTGGAAATGTGCCCGGTATACGGCAATAGGCTCACCCCCTATTACATGGGACTCATAACATAAATAGTGAAAAGTGGGTGTTACATTGTACAGAGGCATTAAGTGCCGAAATGTGCACCTCTGCCTGCTTCGGGGATAAAAAGGCGTGATGTTATGTTATGTTAATATAGTCGGACTACCAATGTAATTTTTTTAAATTATATGCATGTACTTTCTAAGATTATCTAAACACCACTGATATGCGATAAAGGAACACATCATGAACAAACCTGGACAGTAATTTTAATTATGTTTGAAATCGCCAATTCGCCTTGAGCAAGCGTGGTAATTAATATTGCGTTCTCCGTGTGAGAAGAAGTAATAGGGTAGATGCCTAATTTTTATTTTAATGTCCGTCTGGTAGATTATTTAAAAACATTAGACACGTATTTATTTTTTATTTTCTTACAGAAACGAATACTTTCGACGATATATTGATTTGAATGTTGAGTGACGTCACTTCTATGTACATTTTATACGTAGAAATTACGTTTTAGCCCCCACTCTTAAACTTTGATTCGTTTTATCTAAGTACTGATTTATTATACGACAAAATAAAAAAAAAACACGTGTCTAATATTTTCCATTTCCTAACTTACGGACTCCAAGTCAAAATCAAAGCATTTATTTCAATTAAACCATAATTTAGTAGTTTTGAAACGTCAACAAATACAAAATAAATAATAGTCTGTCAGTAAGTCTGTCAGTGAAGCTGGGTGAAGCTAGCTAATTAGATTTTTAATTTTCACACCCTGTCATCATCATCATCACAATTGCTCAACAGTGGGAACTTATAGGCTGATGATGATAATAATGAATTAGGCAAAATATATTTGTATTGTAACTTTCGTGAGACATACTAAATAAATTATTATGTTTTCGGCTTACTCGACTAGTTTCAAGCCATGCTATAGGCTCATATTCATGAGTAGCATTTCTGATTATGAGCCTCTAGCATGGCTTGAAACTAGTCGAGTTCCTCGTCAAATTATTAAGTAAGTAAGCCGAAAACATAATTATTTATTTAGGCAAAATAAAGTTTATATTTATTTTTCAGGGTCGTATTTAGTCCGAGTATAAGGCCTGCTTGCTTGCAAGTAGAGGATGACTTCGAGCACAGAGCGTATGCGTCAGGCTGGGGGCTGTTAGGATATCGACAACAGAACGCAGATATATTACAAAATGTAAGTTTTTTTAAAGACTTATTTGATAACCCCCCCTATACCATCTCTTAACCCGTTGAAAATCATCCCCTAAATTCGTTCATACAAAAGTGGCTCTATACATAAAAATTAAAACTAACTAGTATACTAAATTAATAATAAAATATATACAACTTAAGATTAAAAAAAATAAAAACTGCGTTTAAAAAACCGACTTCAAAAAACCAAAAACTAATAACAAACAAAAAGTCAAAACTAAAAAGCAAAATAAAAAACTATTATTAGTACTGATACGTTACCCACCCACTGATAGGTAAGAAGTCGGTGCCATACCATCTTTGATTTACATTTTGACAGCACCAACGGTTTTACCACCCTCGAAAATCATGAAAACGACCCATGACGATAGTTTAGTTGTAGTTAATTTTAAGTTGTGAATATTTATGTAGTTATATATATTTAATAATCGGGAATCTACCATTTCTATTAGTTAAACTATTTTTCTTAATAAAGACACTATATAGTGACCAGATTGGCATTATATTAAAGAAGGGCCAAATTAAAAGTACCCTTAACCGACGAGCATGCATGAAAAGATTGATGACTGTTGATGAAGCGAAAGAGGTATGTAAGAATCGTAGTAATTGGCGTTCCTTAGTCTCTGCCTATCCCCATGGGAGACAGGCGTGAAGTTATGTATGTATGTATGTAAAGACACTATCTTATCTTAGTGTATAGAGGTTATAATAGAAAACTAGGTTTTTCTATTCCATGGTACCACTAATGTAATGATAATGTTTTATCAGATACCTCTATGGAGAGTCGCAGATGAGGTCTGCAGTGCCAAGTATCTGACACATAGGACCTTTATCAATGGGCTGGACAATGATACACAAATCTGCTACGGAGACGATGGGATAGTCAGAGACACATGCTCAGTAAGTATAAGGCAGTTCTTTTATGGAATAGGAGGCAAACGAGGAGACTCAACTGCACGGTTGGCGCGGTGGCTGGGTAACTGGCTGCCACGCAACGTGTCGCGGGTTCGATTTCCGCACGGAACAACTCTTTGTGTTATCCACAGATTGTAGTTCTGGGTCTGGGTGTCATGTGTATGTGAACTTGTATGTTTGTAAACGCACCCACGATACAGGAGAAAACCTTAATGTGAGGCAACGTCTTTAAAAAAACACGGATCACCTGACGATAAGCGATCGGCGACGCCCATGGACACCCGCAACACCAGAGGTGTTACAAGTGCGTTACCGGCTTTTTGGGGATTAGGAGTTTGAGGATCGTTGAGGATTAAGGGATTGGGGAGATTGGGGAAGGGGAGGGTAATTGGGCCTCCGGTAACCTCACCCACATGACGAAACACAAACGGAAGCGTTGTTCCACGACAGTCAGCTTGGCAGTGTTATCACTCCGGTCGGTTGAGCCGGCCCATTCCTATCGAATCGCATGGCTCTCCCACACTCAGCTCCTATACAATCTGTATGTATATTAGAGACTTTTTTTTCAGGGTGACAGCGGTGGACCTCTGCATATCATAAACGAGAATGTATTCTGTACACATCTGATACTGGGGGTGACTTCTTTTGGCAAATACCGCTGTGGAGAGGTCGGGACTCCCGGAGTGTATACCAAAGTACCGCATTATGTGCCGTGGATTGAAAGCGTGGTGTGGCCTTAGACATAGTTTTGTACTATTCAAATAAATGTTAATATCTACAGATATTATACAGAACATAAGATTTTTATTTTATTCGTATACGTTCCGGTATTTCTATTTTCGTCACAAATCAACGGTAGTAATGTCAATCCCACATGACAAGCGAATAGGAGAAAGAAGAAACAAGCGTTTATCAATGGATATTATTTTATTAAGAAATAATCCTAGCCGTTTCTATCAACCATCTCTTAACTAAGAGTTACTTAGCATAAATAGGCAAACCCCTTATCTTTACCGTTAGATGTCTCTTACATGTTTGCGAGGACCAAAACGTTGCTAAGTGTCACCTACCTAAACTTAGGAACACCTTAAAATTTAAGAAAGGTTGGTGAAAATGGCTTCTTACTTTTTAATTTTTACGTCCTTTCAGAGCGTTTTGTCCCATAGCACCCATAGCGATGTTCTGAGCCCAATCGTGGAGACCATCCCAGGTCTGTATGAGCGGAGGTCTCTGAGAACCTTGATTTTGAGGCTGAACGTAAATCACTTGTGGGTAGTATGGTTGTGGAGGTGGGTAGTACTGCTGTGGAGGTGCGTTGTACTGCTGTGGGGGTGGATTGTACTGCTGTGGGGGTGGATTGTATTGCTGTGGGGGTGGATTGTACTGCTGTGGGGGTGGATTGTACTGCTGTGGGGGTGGATTGTACTGCTGTGGGGGTGGATTGTACTGCTGTGGGGGTGGATTGTACTGCTGTGGGGGTGAGTTGTACTGCTGTGGGGGTGGATTGTATTGCTGTGGGGGTGGATTGTACTGCTGTGGGGGTGGATTGTACTGCTGTGAGAGTGGATTGTACTGCTGTGGGGGTGGATTGTACTGCTGTGGGGGTGGGTTGTATTGCTGTGGGGGTGGATTGTACTGCTGTGGGGGTGGGTTATACTGCTGTGGGGGTGAGTTGTACTGAAGAGAAGATGGCTTATAGCCGTACCCTGCAAAAAACAACCAGTTTTAATACTGACCAGTAGTTCCGGAGATTAGCACGTTCAAACAAACAAACAACCAATAGACTCTTCAGTATAATATAGTAACACCTGGAGAGCCTCGCAGAGTCCAAGAGACAGACAAAAGTTTTAGATACACTCGAATTGAAATATACGTATTAGCTGTCTAGTGTTTTCGTAAATATGAAAAAGATACAATTTTACATCTGTACATCGAATACTGTTTTAAAAGAAGGCTTTGTGCTTTATCTACAGTCGATACCGAAACCAAACATACGGTTTTTAGAATTTTTGTCTGTTTGTCTGTATGTATGTCCGGGATGAACTCAAAAAGTGCTGCATGGCTTTACTTCAAATTTTGCATGAATATTACTAACAGGTCGGGTCAACATATAGGCTACATATTATATGCAACTACGGGGAAGGAGCTGTGAATCACTATTCCACGCGAACGAAGTCGCGGGGTCAGCTAGTCAAAATATTTGTTACCATTAGGAGACCCTGGGATCGGGTCTGAATTTGTATTCAGCGGCGCCTGGGACTTCGTGGTATTCAATTGTGGCAACGGACTCGCAGAAATAAATCCATCTCCTGGAAAACCTGTAGGAGAAACATCGATTTTAATGTTAGGAACATGAAATCCATTTAGTGCATTAACTTAGAACCACTTTTTCTGAGCCGGTGATCAGCCCAAGCAGGCAGGCTAGAATACAATCTGTTGCCACCCCAATCCGTCCCAAGGGTGCCGTAGGGGCTGAGTAAGGAACGTTTAACAGAGACAGGGCAGCAGCGTCGTGGTGGCTCGTGAAAATGTCGTGGTGGCCCTGAGGTTTAAGACGCCGCTTCTCATGCATGAAGGTGCAGATCCGAAACCTACCAAAGTACCAATGTGACTTTTTCCGAGTTATAATTATGTACTTTCTAACATTATTTAGACACCACTGACAAATCGTGAGGAAACCTGGGCTTATAAATTGTAATTATCCGTTTGAAATCACCAACCCAACTTAGTGAGCAAGCGTTGCAATTAACACTTAAACCTTTTTCGTGTGAGAAGACGCCTATGTTGAGCAGGAGCCACTTATAGGCTGTTGATGATGATGATGATGTGGGCAACAGCGCTCTTTAATGAATCTGAACTGTGATCTCCAGCCTGCCTGCCAAACGTGAAGATTACGACAAGGCCTCTTCTATAGAGAAGCTCCATACTCCAACAGTGGAATCTCATGAGCTGCTGATCATGACGATGATCAAAGAAGTATAATGTAAATGAACAAAATTACTAAATTATAAAATGTTGACTTACATGAGGGCCCCAAGAGAGCGACGAGGAGAACGACGGATGTTTTGCTCAGGAACATGTTTGCTCTCGACGGCGACTGTGTTCTGAAGAGCTTCGGGTTCGCTTAAATATGTCGGTGATATGCCTAATATCTAAAACAAAAACAAGATAGTTTGACCTATACAGAATTTTTTGTTCCATTAAATAGTGCGGTGGCATGCCTACTATTGAAACAATAACAAGATAGTTCGACCTCGACGGAATTTCCAAAGGAGACTGATAACTGTATTATGAATGTAAACCTATATAACGTTAACAGAAGCTAGTATTAACTAGCTTCTGCGAACGGCTTCGCTCGTGTTCCCAGGCAAACAGTAGCCTGTGTGTTACCTCAGACCATTATCTACCTCAGTTCCAATTTTCATCCCGGTCCCTTCATTCGTATTGATGTGACTGAGTAACAAACACACACACAAACCCCTGTATCCTCAAAGAAGCACGCTCGGCTCTAGTGCAGGCTATAGTGCGGGGTGTGGGGAAGTAGGCAACCGTGTTCGCCTTCTGCGAAGCAGTCATGATAGCTAAGGAGGAGGGGGAGCGCCGAGCGCATAAGGAAACTGAGTTCCCCATATCGTGACGGAGGTGACGTTCTAGGTACAGCATAACCGAAGGTCTGCGGATTTTTAACCTTTTACCTTGAAATAGCAGAATGCACCATACCACCATACTGATCACTGTTCCGTGAAACAGAGGTGAAAGTTTGTATGGGGTATTTTGCAATTTTCAATGTGGAAAGCTAACAATAATTGTTGGTATGCGGGTTATTTGTGACCAGCATAGAATCGTGCATCATTTTATTTTTGTATTGTAAATCCTTCCCTCACCCCATTAAAAGAACGCGAGAGAAGGCGCAGACAGAGGCTAGTCTATGAATAAATTGTATTCAGTCAATTGAATTCGTATTTTGTCTTTAAAATCCCTGATCCCTGATGCAGCTGAATACTAATATTATTCCTTGAAAACCCACAGAACTTCATTTTTATATGTTGATGCCAAAATATATTATGGAAGTAGGACGCCATAACAATTACAAATCATCAGGTTGGTTACCATAGTAATGTTACCTGTCAGATATCCGTTTTCAGGTTTCCAGATAAATCGTAATAATTATTCTTAAAAATCGACATAGTGAGTCGAAATTTCAAAAACGCTAGAACAAATGTTTTATTATTTTTTATCAAGTGCTTAAATATAAAGTTTTATCTTTAAAAATTATGAAATCCCATACAACTCCCCCCCCCCCTTTAACCCCTTACAACCCCTTTTTCGCGATAAAAAGTAGCCTATGTTTTATCTCGGAAGGTCTAGAATATCTGTATACCAAATTTCATTCAAATCCGTTCAGTAGTTGTAGAAAAACAAAAACAAATATTTACATAAATCATCGAAAAGTTCGTCCGCATCGACGTCAGTGGGGAAAGTACCCAGAAGGCTGGCAGCATTGCCACGTTGTATAGCAATGCTTAACCTCTGACCGAGAAAAATACCAGCCCTCTGGTCACGAGATGTGTCGACCAGGCGTTTTGAAATGTTTTTGAATAATTTAAGCGCACTCGGACCCCACGGACCTAGCGTCTCAACCCCAAACGGCTCAAAGATATAAATACCAGCAAGGTTGTTATATCTTTATTGTTTTTTAGTTGACCCACACTGGGATTGTCCCCTGTGTCGTGCGTTTACAAACATACAAGTTCACATACACAACACTCACAGAGACGGAACAACAATCTGCGGATCACCGCGCCAATCGTGACGCCATGTACACATATAGATACCGCCATATTGTTCATATAAACAATATAAATAGAAAACTAGTAGTAGAGCTAGGTTTATTATCTCTTCGAAGTTACTAAAAATATATGTATTACGTCAAAATGATTTATTAATAACTAGCAAACCCGGCGAACTCCGTTTCGCCATCAGATGGCTTCGTTTTAAGTAACACTAGCTTTTACCCGCGGCTTCGCTGGCGTCACAAAAGAATAAAAAGTAGCCTATGTGACATATACCAATACATACAGCGCCATCTATACCAATACTTTTGTTTTTCCTCGGGAATATCAATTTTTTCCGGGTTAAAAAGCATCCTATTATTTAATCCGGACTTCTAACTTTACGTCTGCAAAAATTCAAAGCAATCGGTTGAGTAGTTACGGTGTGAAGGTGGAACAAACAAACAAACTCACTTTCAGATTTATAATATTAGTAAGGATATCGTTTGGTGATAAAAACATGAAGAAAACTATTTTTCCTGAATTTTCTTTGCTATAAATCTCACGGAGCCCGAGACCTTTCCAACGAATGCAAACCCGTGGAAATCGGTTCGTGCGTTCTGGAGTTATAGCGTCAGGAAGGAAAACCCGACTTATTTCTATACAGTAGATGTAATGTTTAAGTGAGGGAAAGCCATGCTTCGGCACGAATGGGCCAGCATCGACCGGAGTGATACCACTGCCGAGCAGAAAACCATAGTGAAACAACGCTTGTGTTGTGTTTCGTCGTGTGAGTGAGGTTACCGGAGGCCCAATTACCGTATAGCCGTGTTCGTATGCACATTGCTCTACAAATACGTGATATGGCATATGACCACGGCTGTCCTCTAAGAAAATTCTCATCATCATCATCATACCAACATGCCTTTTACACCCGAAGAGGTAGGCAGAGGTACACATTATGCCAG